TTAGAATCACTTCCTCTGTATACGAGGGGCAGTATCCATACCTACCGCACCACATACTTACCTTGCACTTCATGTGAAAACTCTTTCTCGAGATTTCCCTGGTAAAAAATTTGCAAGGGCCTCAAAAAGGCTAGAAAAAGCATTTACAAGGAATTCCCAATCGCCGGGGTCCATTGCCATAGATCATCGCAATTTGTTCGTCGACGATTTAATGGTCATTGTCAGCAGCGATGACTAGCCACTTCCATATGGACAGATTTGAATTCTAGGTTAACTTGAGCGGTTAGCGCAGTAAAACTGGAATAATGTAAAATGATGTACCGGTAGTGTAAATGGTAACACAACTGCCCCGTAAGCTAGAGGTGCAGGTTCGACTCCTGCATGGAACGAAATGTTTCACCCACAAATCCATATTCATGTGCTCAGTACAATATTTTTAGAAACTTCATCTACTTTCAAGCCGAGATTGAGGGTTATGATTGATAATTGATTGTTTTAAATCCTAGCTTTATAAAAAGAACCTTTGATTCTCCTGGACTCAAGGTATGTTTGGTCCATTCCCCTGCACTGCTAGCCAACCGTTCGGCTTCAAAGTCAATGGGAAACTATAAGCAGAGTCGTATCCAAAATGGAGGGAAAAACTGCCGTCCTTTCTCTTGGTTCACTTTGCATGAACTTGTCCAATGTCATATGTGGGACATGAGCCTAACTCAGCCCTTCTTAAATTTGGAAGAAAAGCGAGAATGTGGCGCAATCCAAGAGTGCGCCTCGGTATCTACAATGATATATCTCTGATATTTACTTTCTTGACAATTTACCAGTGATCATTTTCACGATATCTGCTTCATGCTGTTGTACGAATACAAAACGCACTCAATCATTCCCACAAATCCGTTCCGAGAGTGTGTCCATGGCTCAACCTGGAATAGCCTCAACCAAATTAATACGGAAGAGAATTCACCGCTGTCAAGTAACAGCACTGTGGAACATTCCGATGGTGAGGCTGGGCGATGTCTCAAGGCGACGCCGCCTCGCCTCATTCGGCTTACATCACTTGCGTAACGCTCGTTAATTCTCGCGCTGTCTTACGTAAC